TATTTAATAAATGGCAAAATTTGTTATATTGGAGAGAGTGAGCGAGAGGATTAAAGATATTTAGATTTTCATGAATCAAAAATAAAATTAAACGAAGTATACTATGGCCAACATAAAAGAGTATGTTATTTTGAGTGATGAAGATTTAAAAATTGTTAAAAATAGAAATAAATTGTTAAATGACATGCATTTGTACAAATTTGAAGATTTATTAAGAAAAGATTCCAATTCTTTTTTCAATATGCAAAGTACTTATACTTTTATAGCCTTAATGAGGGGTGTTTAAATGTGCATCAAATGAAATATTTAATTAGATTGTTCCCTTTTAAACCAACAGTAGTTTTTGTAGTTGTTGATCAACAACCTTTTGGTAGTGTTGAGTGTGGAGTATATGCAATAGCATTTGCAACATCTATATTTTTTAACGTAATGTCAAACAGCGTAAATTATGAAACTGATAATAACAGAATGAGAAACCATTTAAAGTCAATGTTTGAAAATAATCGCTTAAATCATTTTCCGTCAATAAGAACGTCTCACAATAGGAATTCGATAATAGAGAATGATTGGAACCGTCTTTTCATAAATCGAGCTCAGGAACTTAAAAATAATATTTTGAACCCTTGTTCTGTTTTAATACTTTTCCCAGCAATATTATTAACAGAGTTCTATTAACACAATATTTAGAAATTAAACATTCTCTAAATGACACTAGTGAAGAGAAAATAATTCGTACAACTAATAATAATATGAAAAAAATTTCACCACTTGAATATTCAGAAATGAAGTATTTTCTGAGTGAAGAAATTGATAAAAAGATAATTCTAGGAATTAAAGAAAAGGGAAGGCAACGCGCGAAGTTACATATGAACAGAAAATAATTAGACAAGAGAATGGTAGATTGAGAAAACGTAATCGTAATGAAACAGAAACAGAAATACAAAAGAAAGAACGCAAAAAAAATTTGACTTGCAAAAAAAGAAATTATCTATAGAAACTAAAGATGAAAAGAAAATACACAAGGATAAAAATTTGGCATGTAGGGAAAGAAAAATATCAATGGAAACTCAAGATGAAAAGAAAGTGCGTCAAGAAAATAATTTGTCATGTAAGAAGAACAAATTTTCTACGGAAACGGAAGATGAAAAGAAAGTGCGTCAAGAAAAGAATTTGGCATGTGAAAACGATAACCGAAATAAAAAAGTGTAAGAGATGCAATAATGTCTTAAACTTTTCAATAAAAGTAAGGTTCCACAGAATTATTTAGGTTTGATGAATGTAGAATGTAAGTTTTGTTATGTGTTACATTTTCTGTGTGAGAGACCGTCACATAGATTATTTAGTAGTTGCTGTCATAAGGGAAAAGTAAAGTTAAGCGCCCAAGTAGCACGGAATATTGGTTGATTGTAACATTGATATCAAGTGGGAATATTCCCGTGACATTCAGGCGATATCATAATGTCTTTACGGGGACATTCCTCGGTGATATTCACGTGTGATTCGTATGATATTGAGGGAATATTCCCGTGAAATTTGTGTGATATTGAGTGAATTATTCCTCTGATATTGAGGGAATATTCCAGTGATATTAATAAGATAATTTATAAAATTCTAACAAAATTTCAATTTTTTTTTATTGATTTATTTGTTTAATTAAATATTCAAAATAAACAACATTTTAGAATTTTCTAAATTACAGGAATATTGTCTCAATATCACAGGGATATTCCCTTAATATCCCAGGAATATTTTCTTAATATTGCGTGAATTTCACGGGAATATTCCCTCAGTACCATACAAATATCACGCGAATTTCACAAGAATATCACCGTAGAATGTCCCCATGAAGCGGACATTATGATATCGCCTGAATGTCACAACAATATTCCCGCTTGATATCACCTTGACATTCAAGCAATATTCCGTGCTCCTTGGGTGGTAGATTTAATATGAAGAAAGGACCCCGCACACAATGCATTGAAAAATGGACCCGGTTAAATTGGCTGGTTTTGAAATATTTTGTAGTTCATGTACCCCCGAACAAAAAATGTAAATGGCAAAATGCATAAAAATCAAAACTTTTTGAGAAAAAAAATGTCAAAGATGAAAAGCAATCAAGAAAAATCACATTTCTACCCAAGAAGGTAAAAAAGTGAAAACAGCTTATGCAATTGAAAAGTAACTATTGGATACATAGGGAAATTGAAAACAAAAATATACGTGCTTTTTTGTTTTTAATTTTAAATTGTTTAACAATAATTGTTTAAACAAATAATTAAAAACATTTTAATTTTTGAAAACTGTTAAAGCCAATCGATTCTACATAAGAAATAATGACGATTTTATACAGGACATTTTTTTGTGCAAGTCCGATTTTGTTTATAATTATTGTTATAAACAATTACTATTCGAAAGAGTGGATTCGATAAAGGGATTAATTAAAAGCACTTTAATTGAAAGTATCTATTGGATTCATGGGCAAATTGACAACAAAAATATACGTCCTTTTTGTTTTTAATAATCAATTGTTTAACAATAATTGTTTAAACAAATAATTAAAAACAATTCAATTTTTGAAAACTGTTAAAGCCAATCGATTCTAAATAAGAAATAATGACGATTTTATACAGGACACTTTTTGTGCAAGTCCGATTTTGTTCATAGTTATTGTTATAAACAATTAATATTCGAAAGAGTGGTTTCGATGAAGGACTTGATTGGACTATTCCAAGTAAAATAGAAGTAATTATTTTCAATTAAGAATAATTCCAAGTACTTTAACATTTTTCTATAGGTTTAAAAAGCACAGCAAATAATCTGGGTCACATTCGAAGTGTATATATGGGGTTTTTGGATACAACAATACATTTTAGAGTAGAATATTTCAAGTATGATTCAAATAAATATTTTTGATTTAGAATGATTCCAAACGCTTTAATAATTTGTTGTAGGTCTAGAAAGCATAGTAAGTATTCTCAGATACATTCTAAGTAAGATTGTGGTGCTTATAGTTTAAACCATACATTCTAGAATAACCCAAATATGATAGCGGTGAATATCTCGATTTAGACTAATTCCTACTGCTTGAGAACATTTTTATTGGTCCAGTATATATAGGGAATAAAAGATACTTTCTAAGTAAATTCATGGTGTTTATGGTTACAACCATACGTTGCAGAATAGCTTTAGTGTACTAAAAGTAAATATTTTTGATTTAGAGTAATTCCAAGTGCATGAGAATTTTTAATTGGTTCAGAATAAATAGGAAATATTGTTAAATGCATTTTTAAAAAATCTATGGTGTTTATGGTTACAAACGTACATTATAGTATATCCCAAATATTATAAAAGTGAATTTATTTTATTTAGGCTGAATCTAAGTCTTTTAACATATTTCATAGGTCTCTTAAGGATTTTTAGTCATTCTCAGAAACATTCAATGTATGTGCATGGTGTTTATGATAGAAACAATACATTGTGTCACATGTTAAGTATGATACGATTAATTATTTTCGATTTTAAGTAATTCCAAGTACTTTAACTTTTTTTGTAGGTTGAGAAATCACAGTAATTATTCTCCGATACATTTCAAATAAATCTATGGTGTTTATACGTATAACCATACGTCGTAGAAAAATGGAAGTATGATAAAAGTAAACTTTTTCCATTTAGAGTTCTACCAAGTGCAGTAACTTTTTATCATAAGTCTCAATAGCATATTAGGTAATCTCCGAGACAATCCGTGTAAGTTTATGATTTCTATGGTTACAACCATACGTTGTAGAATAGCTTAAGTATGATACAAGTGATTATTTTTCAGTTTGAGGGATTCGAAGTATTTCAAGATTTTTTTATTGGTATAGACATTATAGAAAGTATTCTCCGATTTTTTCTAAGTAAATCAATTATGTTTATGGTTATTGCCATACATTATAGAATATCTCAAGTATGATTTAACCCCTTCACTGTTTGAGAAAAATACAACATTATTGACCAAAAATGCCCAGCAAAACCCCTCCGAGGAATTTTTGTGAAACTCATTATGTGAGGGTTTTTGAGGTTGCTGAATCTGAATGTGACCTCAAAGTTCAAAACTTCAAAATGGCGGATCCAATATGGCGGACGAGTTTTTGAAAAATTATCGGATTCGCTTGAAACTTGTTACTCGGGGGGTTTTTGGGGTCGCTGAAGTCGAATATGACATTAAATTCTCAAAATTCATAATGGCGGATTTAATATGACGGACGTAATTCTGTTATTTTTCATTTACATTTGTTCTTTACATTAGCTGATGAATTACTTCATGACCCCAGAATGTACCGCGTGGAGGTTGTAAAGATAAACATTCCATTTTTTTTGTTTTTTTTTTTTTTAGTTTTTTAATTTTTTTTTTAATTTTTTATATTTTTTCATATTTTTTTTTAATTTCTTAACTTGTTTTTTATTTGTTAAAAAATCAAGTGCTGGAGAATTTTTTTATTGGTTCAGAATGTATAGGTACTATTTTTAGATACATTCCAAGTGAACCTATGGAGTTTATGGTTAAAACCATACATCGTAAAATATCCCTAGTATAAAACAAATGGTTTTTTTCGATTTTTACTGAATCCAAGTACTTTAATTTTTCTTTATAGGTCTGCAAGCTTTGTGAGTATTCTCAGTAGCATTCCAAGTGAATCTATGTTGTTTATGGTTACAACAATACATTGTGGAATAGCTTAAGTATAAAACAAATGATAATTTTTATTTCAGAGTGGTTAACTTAGAATTTTTCTATACAACTGAAAAGAATGGGAAATATTTTCAGATACATTTTAGATTTTCGAATCGACATTTTAGATTTGAAGTACCTCTGATATTTTCTCAATAATCGCGTTTTTGGTATTATCTATAAATAAATAAATAAGTAAATAAATAAATACATAGATTGATAAAAAATAGGACGATTCAAAATAAAATAATAAAGAACACAGAAATTCGGAGAGTGGAAGGTTGTGTTTTTAATTCCTGTGAGCTGCATCGCTGATATTTTCTAGTAAAGCTGTCGAGGGATATTTTACAACGGGTTGGTGTATCGCATAGCCTAGTAACCACAAGACACTAGCAACATGTGAGCAGCAGCCGAGGGTTCTGGCCCCAGTCTTGCAGGTACAATAATAACCTAAAATAGGTTCATTTGCATTTTCGTTAGCATCATCATTCTCATATTCCGGGTTAAAAGTTATAAATATCTGATACCTTGTGGCGTTTCGGAACCTTGAGTATATCCGTATTCTTATAAACCCAATTTCATTGAAATGCTCATCTATCTGGAATTCTTCATTTTCTTCTCTTATGACTTTGTCTTGTATATAACCTGGCGAGAGTTTTACTTGATATACTCCGACAGTTAAATCTTGTAAATACTCTAATGTCAGTCTTGGAAAATGTGGCACCTGATCCACATTCAGTCTTATCCATAATGCGTTCCTTCTTTCCAAATTCTCTAATTGCACTCGTTCTTGAACAGCATTAGGTCGGCGGGATTTTTCCAACATCTGTTCTGCAAGTTGTCGATTTGCTCCAGCCATGTGTATGGTATCTCTATATGCATTTAAGATGGCGCCTGCAATTTTATAAAAATCTCCAATGTGAATCACATGAGTGATAGTAACAGTCCCTTGAAAGAATTTGAAAACTGTTTTGAAGTGCCCATTCTTTGCCTCTACCATCCATCTTGATTTTGTGATTAAGCGAGATTCATTTGCAGTAAGCGTATCAAATTGTCTTTGACCCCGTTCTAGAAATGCAGGCATTTTATGATTAATTCCTAGGTTTTCAAGTAATGGCAGAGCATCTCTGTAGCCCCGATCTACTAAGATTATATCACCTTCCCTGAACCAATCTCGAAGACCTGGATGACCGACCTCCATTTCATTAGCCAACATTGCTGCGTCATTGTTCCTAGAGTCCGAAAAGTACGGCCCATGAATATCTAAAATATATCCATCCGGAGCAACGATTAAAGCTGGTTTAACTAATTGGTCTCCTTTATGTAATGAGTAGCTCTGTCTTTGAGCTTGAAAGTTGGTCGGCTTCTGTGTATAAACATAAGTACCATCAATGATAGCAATCGCCACTGGAACATTAGGATCTGGATTGTAAAGACTGTTGGAGAATTCTGTCACATGATTTTCTATATATTGTTGTCGAGTAATTGCATTTAGCCCAATATTTCGTGGTACGAACCTTATCATTAACGATTTCCGTACCGTAGAAATCACAAGTGAAACTGCCTGTCTACTTGTATAATTAAACGTGACTTTCAAAAAATCATCGCTCAGGTTTTGTCGCAATTTACATAAGAATGTAAGAAGATGTTTTTTGCTGACATTTCGATTTGTATTGCGTCCAGGTTCTGGTACAGGAACAATATAATTTGTATACAAGTGATGGAATTGTTCACGGGTTATGGGGCTAAAGCTTTTAAATTCCTCTTTCGAGAAACTTTCCTCATCATTAAAATCGTGACCATTGTAACTACTTGAATCACATAAATGCTCTAATATTTCTTGCACTTGTCTACCATCTAATCGATAAGGTCTATTGACAAATTGTAAACCGTTCATTAGAAGTCGTGGAATAAATCCATTCTCATCTAAATGTAAATCACAGCATCGCACAGACTCAGGCATAAAAATACGCTTTAGAACAAAAACTTTAATCCTGCATTCAGTTGAAAGTCTCGTCAAGTTTTGTACATTATTACAAAATATACATACATTAATCCTTCTTAATTTTACAACGTTTAACCTTAAACAGTTTGGATCCTCTTCTAGCATACGTATCTCCGTATCAATGCTTATATTGCAATTGAAACATACACGACTTTCTGCTTGTACCTCTTCAGGTAAATGGTTAAGCGATTCTCGACGCAAAATTGCAATTTGCCGCTTTTGCTCATTTTCATCTCCAAAAATGCGCACCATTACGCGACGGTTATGTCTTACTTCGCATACAAAACAGTTTACTCTGTTTCGACCAGCCATTTATAAACGCTTTATTCACGAAAAAAAAATTAAATAATAAACATCTCAGAAAACGTACAAATCACCAAAACAAACATACATACAAACAGTCACACCAATATATTTACAAACATACATACAAACATATATTCACAATGTACAAAGCAAAAAACTAAAGAGATCCTAATTTATTAGTACAAACTTTTCCTTTTATTTGAGGAAAATTAATGAACAAAAAAAAGAAATAAGTAATTCACCATAAGAAATCCAATAATAAAATTACAAAATTTCCTACCCTGAAAAAAGAATTAAAAAAATAAGAAAGAAAAACAAATTGTTCGAATAATCTGAGACTACATTTCACGATTACTGCTGCTTGTGAAATAAATGTTAATAAGAACTCAGACTAGAAGTACTACACTGGTCAATAGTTGAGCCAAAAGTGAATAAGCTGTCAACCGAGCCAGCTTTGATCGTTTTACGGTGGTGGGGC